CTTCAGTGCTAAAATGGGATGGGGTTTGCTCTCTATTTATATGCTGTGGCCTGCCTTGCTAGTGCTGGTGGGGGTGGGGGGTTTGTTTTGCTCCTCTGGTAGTTCCTTGATTAGGGTATTGTTCACTGTTTGACTGTGTGCCTGGTGGTGACCTCTGCTTATCTGGGTGATAATTGCTGGTGAGAAGATGCTCTGGTCTTTTGTCTCTTTTGACTAGTATGTAGATGTTGTTTATGTGTCTGTTAATTGCTGCTTTGTCTGAATACCAAGCTTCCAATAATTCTCTTGCATTTATGGATTTAGCTTGGTTTAAAATGCTGACAGTTTCCAGCTCCCAGTAATGAAACGTTTGCAAGAAAAGAACCAAGCTCAGAGAACCCCAAGGACCCCACAGTTCAACCTTGAGCTACACATATTCGTCTCTATTGGTAGAATTAGATCTGGTCAATATTTGGATAAGATACCACCAGGAAATAATGGGGCAGACAGAATAGAGTGGAATTTTTTTTAAAAAAACATAGAAGAAGACAGTGTCAGTCTCTTCCATATTGTTACCAGGAAAACTGCATAGATATGCCCATGAAGTCACCTGGCTTTGTCTTCACCTTCTTAGTCAAGATAGCTGTGAGTTTAGTTCTGATCACAACTCCCCTTACCACTGTCTTACTAGGACTCCTTGGCTTCACCTGTTTAATTGGAACACTGATATTAATATCCTGGAAAGTCTGGTCCATGGAAATCTCTGCTTCAGGTCTGCTCTCTGGATCTCAAGGGAGCAAACTAGTCCAGCAGCACATAGACATCTCTTAACAGCCCCGAATCTGGATTTCTATTGCTTTTTCATTAGAAATGTTTGCTCTGTGTTTTGAATAGCTTTTAAACACTGCTCGTAGTCATAAACAATAGAGTACCACTGTTCTCTTTGCTGCATAATTACTGAATGTAAAAAAGACAAACTAGTCTTGTCTTGAGTTTAGCTTTACAAACCCTGCAGTGTGAATGTACCACTGTTTCACACATGATATGCATTAGTAAGCCTACACAATACACTGAAGTTTCAGCAGGATAAAACCGAACAGAATTGAAGCTACTGTAGTTGAGGTCAAAGTAGATGAAATATTTAATCACATCTACAGGGCAGGGTCAGCTGCTCAGTGGTAGCATTCATTTTTTGCATGCAGAAAGACCCACATTGACTCTGTAGCAGGATTAACTATAAATCCTGGAAACTGGCAGCATAGGTTTTGTGGGCAATTACATTAGTGTTATGCTTTATTTGTACCAGAGATCCCAGCTGATACACCACCCACAAGTGTGTACTGACACATCAAATTGGAGACTATCTCATTATCACTCACAGGAATTAATTATTCCATTCTACCCTGCCCTGCCACCTGGAGTGCTGTGTCTAGTTTGGGGCATCACTGTTCAAAAAAAGTGACAAACTGGAACAAGTTAGTATGGTGATGGGCAGAGGGAAATATGGTGGGAGACAAGGGACAGGTCACTACTGAAGAAGGTAGTCTTCAGATCATTGATTCGGCATATCAGCCCCCTGGCTGGACATGGGGGTTGGGGTACTCAGAAATGTGTTTCAAGTGTGGCACTAGCCACAACCCAGCTGTGACTCAGGGGTGGTGGAATGGCTGTAGTTATCTGGGAGACTCTAGTGGCCTTCAGAGGTGCTGTCCTACAGATAACTGAATGTGAGACCTTGTTTGTGAAATTGGACTCCCTTGATTTTGTGGCCAAACTAGCAGTAGTTTCCCTGTTTATGATATGGGAGACTTCAATCTGCCTTCTCTGGGTGCAAAATCAGCAGCGGCAGGTTGGTTCATGGCCACCATGACCTGACTCAGATACATCTTGTGTTTGTCTTGGGCACTGGTGATGTGATCTGCATGTGGGGGATGTGAATGCTAATCCCTTGTCATAGTCAGATCTCTTCTTGATTGCCTTGGAGTTCTCCACAGCTGCTTCAGCCTTTTGCTAATGGGCTGTTTTTGAGACTCATGCACAGTTCAGCTGATGCCTTAGTTGCCACTAGGATGAGTTTTGGATCTGATTGCCCATGTGTATCCTCTCACTGCATGTGGATCGTGGAGTTCCCCCTAGTTTTCAGAAGAACTCACTCCAGAAGATGAAGTCGCAGAAGGACCACCTAGAGCTGCCACTGGAAAAGAACAAAGAGCAAACCCCAACAAACACGGTTAAGAATTACCTTGTGGTAAGAATGGCTAAATATGTTTTCCTATTCCTTTTGCATTTGCAGATTGCCAGCTGGTAGCCCTGTTTAAGATGACCCAATCCATTTTGTACACCTACTGTGCCTTTTTTGATTGTGTGGGCCTGCTCACAGCCACTCATGGCTTGTCACTTCCCATCTGGATTATTGCAATGTGCTCTATGTGAGGCTGCCCTTGAAGACCACTCAGAAATTGCAGCTGGTCCAGAATGTGACTACATGGGTAGTTATGAGCATAGATGATATGCCCATGTAACAGTACGTCACAAGCTGCACTGGCTCCCAGTAGGTTTCCTGGTGCAATTCAAGGTGCTGATAGCCATCTATAAAACACTTAATTCTCAGAGCCAAGGTATCTGCAGGACTGTTGCCTATCCCAAAGGATCTAACAGGATGGACATGTCCCAAGACCTTCGATTAAACAATGCCAACAGATGGGATCTAGGAAGGGTACCTTCTCTGTTATTGCATCTCCCCTGTTGAACAGCATGCCCTCTGAGATTTGGGTGGCCCCAACTCCAACGGCCTTCCATAAGGCATTGAAAACTTGACTTTTTTTCCAGGCACTGAGCCAGGAAATTGAATCAATTTTCAGGGGGTTGTTGATGTGGATATGTGTGCTGCCCCAGGCATGATGTATTTTGGGTTCTTTGTTGATGTTTTTATTGTTGTTTTTAATTTGTTTACTGCCCAGAGTCAAATGTTATATATTGAGTGAGTGGCTGTACAGAATGAATGAATATTTCAGAGGAAAGCTACCAAGATGGTGAAAAATCTGGAAACTAAGCCTTAGGGTTAGGGTTTAGTCTTCAGAAGAGACCACTGAGCAAAGATATAATTTTCAAATATCACTTGCAAAGTACCTGCTGTTTGGAATACCATATCCCCCAATTTGCTTGTCTTTGACCCCGCTGGCATTTCATAAAACCTTGAAGACCTAGCTGTTCCCTTGGGTATGGGGACTGGAAATTGGGTGAGCTCATCCACGTGATTTTTTATTGCTGTGATTGTTATATCAATTGGATTGGATTGTCCTCAGAAGCCAGTGTGTTGTTATTGTATTATCCAAGTTACTCTTTCTGAGATGGGCAGCTATATAAATCAATTTAATAAACAAATAACTGAAGGGCTGTTATAGAGAAAAGGGAATGGATTTATTCTCTATTACCCCAGAGGATTTAAACGTAGCTTTAGGCTACCTGTCAGGAGGAACTTCCTAACTGTATGAGTTGTCAGCCAGTGGAAAAGGCTATCACATGAAGCAGTGAGTTCTCTTTTACTAGAGGTCTTCAGAGACTGGATGGGTATCTATCAGAGGTGATCTAATGGGTCCTGCACCTATGGCCTCTCTGGTTACTTCCAATTCTGTGATTCTGTAACCTCTCCAAACCTATCTACCATAATCTTCACGTTTTGTGCCACCTGCTTCAAGTGTGAAACTGACATGATAGAAGGGAGTCCTGATGAATATTCCAGAGCCAACATTGTTGCAACATTTGGCAATAAAACTATGGAGGAAAGGAAAGGACTTCTTGAGATTTTAAGGAGTGATAGTTAAATGGAAAAAACAGAGCTTGGCTAAATAGATTTGGAAAATTTGAGCCATTAGTTTCCCCCTAATGCATTTTTGGGGGGGGGTGTGAAAAACAGCACCGAAAGCTATAATTTTAAACAGAGGCATGGTAAGTTAAGAATGGTTCAGTTATCTAATTGTTAGTCTTCTTTTCCCAAGCAGGTTTCTCAAAATATTTATGTATGTTTTCTACCTAGCCTAAAGTACTGTGAAAAGTACTGCCCGCTCCTTCGTACTGTACATGAAGAATCCTTTAGCAAAAACAGACTCACCAG